GACACTTCTCTGCATTACAACCTGATTTTTGACTTAAAAAATTCAGAAATTAGCTGTTAGGCTGGGATTTTTCCTAAATTATAATTTATTGTTTCAACTTTCAGTCAGATTTGCTGAAAGGTTGTGAAAAATATTCAAGAAACTGTATAAAAATAGCTAAAAAACATAGGAAAAGACCTCCATTTTGCAACTTTTGCCTGATTTGTTGGCATAAATAAGCAGCATCATCCTGCACAGGGAAATCCAGAGTTTATACGAGACATTTTTTGTGGTTTTAGTCGAGGAAAGACGCATCGTGTGAATGATCTGAGCCGCCCAGCGGCTGGGAGCGAAACCCGTTGGCTAATATTAGCAGTGATGTCTTGCTGTGTAACAGGAGAGACGCGGGGCCTGCTAGCATCACAAAAATCTGAGGCCAGGCACATTCCTCTGTATAAATAACCGGGGGGTCGGAGGACAAGAGGGCGGACAGAGAGACGTTCAGAGAGACGCGGCTCCGCTGAGTGATGGGACAGCTGGAGCCGGCCGAGGATCCAGGAGTCTGAATCACACTGAGCTGCTGTGAAGCTGAAATTCAACGTTCTTCTCTGCTGTGGATGGGAAACTTCAACCCAAAACATTGAGCTCTGAAAACAACAGCAGCGTGTTTTATTTGCTTCTGGCTTTTTACAGGAGGAAAATAAAAGAAAAATGGCTCTTTTTGTTGCTGTGGTTTGACTTTTAAAACGTGTTTGGTCCAGTTATACGTTTTTATTGTTTTTTGGAACAGAAAGGCTGATGCATTACAAAAATAAGACATATTAAAGATGTGACTTTTATCTGCTAGATGTTTTTTTACTTATGACTTTCTATATTGAAATAACACTGATTTATAACTTAAACTTTGGAGTTTTTTTGCTGGAATGATTCATAGATTAGCATTAGTTAGCTTAGCATAACTAAGCTATTAAAAATAAAAAGAGTGCTGCTCATTTTACTATCATTTTTTACATTTTTAGTCATTTTCCAGCCAATTCTGGAGTTTGAAGATGTTAAAATTAAATTCACATTCTATAATATGTTTTCCTCTGTTAACATTTAATTATATGACAGCAATAAATAACATTTACCAGCAGGAGGTCTCTCAAGAGTTATTTTTATTTGGTCTAACCTGTTAGATTTCATAATATCAATCAGTTGAAATGAGGGTTAATATAAAACTCAGTAAATACAGGCAGGATTTAAGGATTGTTTATTACTATTTATCTCCAAAGTTTATCAAAGTAACCAATTGTTTGTATTAAACTGGTCAGTCGACCAGTTTAATAAATTAAATGTTTAAAAACATTTGGGCTCGTTTTTCTGAGACAGAGCTTGTAAAAATTAGGATTTTTAAGATTAAATTATATAATATTTTGCTTTTTTAAGCATAAGATATTATTATTCAAATATAAAGAAGTCGCTCTGTAGAACAGCTGACCCAGAATCGAGGCGATGCTGAGCAGGAAAATCTGGTTTTCTGATCAGAAAGATTGGCCTCCCGGGTCAGACACTGAAGAACAGCGAGGAGCTTTGGATCAATCAGCTGTTTAAGAAATTATTTATTGCCAGAAAGAATCGCAGAAATCAAACCTTTCCACTGCATGCTCACGTCAAGCAAAGATGCATCTGACACCAAAAAACATGCGAAACTGAATCTGGGTTTAGATCTGAAAAGGAAAAATAAACGTGATTCTGGAGAGAAAGGGAGCCAACATAGAGCTACTGTCTCTGAATTAGGTAAAGGTTGTTTTTTTTATTATAAAATTATTAAACATTTCCAGTAATGATTTATGTTTACAGCTAAAATCTCCCAATTATTTGCATCCTGCAGGCAGCAGGTTGGATCCTAAGGAGTCAAAAATTAGTAGCAATAACTTGGATTATTCAGCCTGACAGACGACAAAAACAATAGAGGTTCATTTCAAAATCAAATGTTCACCATTTTTAACTGTCAAATATCACAGTTACAAACAAAATATGTAGTGATGAGCCACTTATTTAGTTAGCAAGCTAAATATTAAATGTTAAATATTTACTTAAAAGCTAAATATCTCACTAAATATTTAGTTAGCAAGCCAAATATTTTAAATATGCATATTTAGTTAGAAAGCTAAATAACAAAACAACTAGAAATGTACCTCCAAACATCAAGTTACATGTTTAGTTTTAGCAAGCTAACTGTTTAGTTTATCTAGTAGCTACATACTGAGTTTGAGAGCTAAATATTTAGCCAGTAAGCTAAAGGTAAGTTTGAATTTATTTAATTAGGAAGCTACATATTTAGTTATATCCTATTCAGTTGGAAGCTAAATCTTTAGTCAGGCTAAACATTTATTTTGAAGCTATTTAGTAAGTAGACTAAATACTAATATTTAGCCTACCAACTAAATGTGTATTTTGGCTAAGTAATTATAAGTAACCCTGATCATTTCTGGCTCCTAAGTAGGAAATTAGTTGTGATTATTGCCCTGAAGCTGAAACTTTGACTTGTCTGGTGGTTTGTGAATGTTATGGCTGTTCTGAGGAATCCTGATTTACGGTCCGTTTGGTCTGGACCGTAATTCGGGCTCATGGATGCGTGTAAGCTAGCAGGACCGTTACCTTCACCCAGATCCAGGACGGCCAGCACGGCGCTGGTCCGGGCTTCTCCCAGGTGATTGTTGGCGATGCAGGTGTAGAGACCAGCATCGCTGGGCTTGCAGTCCCTAATCCACAGGCCTCCGTACTCCTGGTTCTCCATGTTGAGCAGCTCGTCGTTGTGGTACCAGTACAGGGACGGCTGGGGGTCCCCAACCACGGTCACCTTCAGGCGGATGTCACAGCCAGTCCCCACCGCGGCGTTCCTCATTTTCCGGATGAAAACGGGAGGAGACGGGTCGGGATGGCCAGGGCCCTGGGATTCGGGGACTACCTGTTCCAGGGCCGTCTTGGACCGTTTGGGGGGGATGATGGGACTTTGGGGCGCTGCTGCTTCATCGGCCCCCTTCTTCAGGGTCATTGCTACATCAGCTTTTCTCATGGTTGGACGTCTAGGCGGGTAAATACTTAGGGCCTAAAATCAACAGGTCCAGTTATAATCCATCCATTTGACTCCAGGCAGAAACATAAAAACTTTAGCAACATCTGTGCAGTTGCTAAATATTCTAAAACTGATGCTATCTGGAGTCGGTTGTCTGAAAAAGGAATTGTTGATGAGCAGGTAATCAGGAAGGACGGAGACAGCGACCACTGCCTGGACAGAGGTATTTTTAGGATAAGACCCACCAGATCATGTTGCATTAACAGCAACTCCTTTGACTTCTCTTGGAACTGACAGCTTTGATTTTCCAACCTCGTTTTTATCCCAATTTTCTCTTTCTCTTGGTTTTACCTCTTCCCAGTGGTGTTCCTCCCAAACTAAGGTGGACAAGTCTTCTTTGAGATTCCTTGAGGTTGGCTTCGTCCAAGGACCAGATCCCACCTGATAAGTTGCACCGTGACCCCCTGCCGTCACCGCTCCTTGTCCCGTAAGTTAAATCAGCCCACTCATGATTTCCCCCTACCTTTGCCAGGCAGTCTGGAGGGGGAAATGACGGTCAGAGCTCCGCGAACCGCGCAGCGACAGCTGCTTGGTCCGTCTGCCCACTGAAAGCAAGGCTCCCGCCCTCCGCGTCATTTTTAGCCAACCTGAGGTCAGAAGAACATGGTGCAACACTTTGGGGCACACTGCAAAGTGTGGAGAGTAGCAACAATTTGGGTTATTTATCCTGTCATAAGAGAAAAAAATGGGAGTTCAGTTTTCAAAGTCATTATTTATAAATGTCAGCTTTAAACTAAATGTTTAAATAGCATGCTAAATACTTAGTCATCAAGCTAAACTTAGCTCCAAACTAGGTATTTAGTTAGCAAACTACATTTCAGCACCAAACTAAATGCTAAGTTTGAAAGCTAACTATTTAGCTCAAAAACTAAATATCCATCCATCCATCCATTTTCTGAACACCCTTGTCCCTCAGTGGGGTCGGGAGGGGTGCTGGTGCCTATCTCCAGCTAACATTCCGGGCGAGAGGCGGGGTCAAAAACTAAATATTTATGTGCTAATTAAATATTTAGCTAGCTCAGAGTCAGCTAAATAAACTCCAAACTAAATATTTAGCTAGTTAAGAGCTAGCTATATATATTCCTAGCTAAGTAAATATTTAGTTACCTTACCTTTAGCTCCTAAGTAGCAAGCTAAATTTTAGCTCCCAGCTAAGTAATTACCTAGTTAACTATTTAGCTCCAAATATAACTTGATATTTAGGCCTGAGATCTTTAAATATTTAGCTACCTCAGAGTTAGCTAAATATTTAGCTCCAAATTAAATATTTAGCTAACAAGCTATATATTTAACTACAAACTGAAATTGCTTATGAAGCTAATTTTAGCTCCAAACCAATTATTTGGTTAGCAGGCTGAGCATTTAGCTCCAAGGTTTTTATTGGAGCAAGCTAACTCTTTAGCTCCAAACTAGATATTTGGCTCTGAGCTAATTAAATATATAACAAGCTCAGAGTTAGCTAAATTGTTTATTTGTTAAATATTTTGCTTGCTAACTAAGTATGCAGTTTGGATTCAAATAGTGTCCTATTTTTAAAGCTTTAAAGCATGACTCCCATTTAACTTGCCTGCATTGAGACTTGAAACTACAGATTTGGTGGTTTGTCAGAAGGTGGCAGTGTGACTGTTTCTACAATTATACAGTTCACTGAGACTCAGAGGGTGGAAAAAACAAATATTTCCTTTGTTGCATTAAAAGCAAAGTCGGTTTCACACCTGAGGGATCACTTTAAGGTGAAGAGGAAAGAAAAGAAGTATGTTGACATCTGACTGTGTTGTAATTTTCCTGCAGCAGAAAATCACAACTTCTGTTTTTGGTCTCCTCACTAACCAATACAAATAACAGCTGATCAATGATGTGACTCAGAGGTGCTTTTGTTAATCACATGACCAGACAATGATTCCTTGTTTCAACTTTAATGAAGTTTCTTGGCCATACAGAAATTAGATTTTTAATATGTAAAATACAAAAAGCTAGCTCAGCTGAAACTATTTAATAATATTAACAGATAAAAAATATTTTTACATTTACACAAAAACAGATTCATAAAAGACCAACATCTGTTTCACAGTTTCTTCTGCATCTGTTGGTGTTTTTTTTAGCATTTTGTCTGTCTAGACATTGTGATGCTGTAAGATAGTTTAAGAAATATTTTCACAACTTACCCTAAATGTTGACAGATCTGGTTTTCCCACTTTCAGTAAAATATAAATATGCTAAAATAAAAATAGAGGCAACACAAATGCACAGTTGAGTAGAAACCAGTGTAGCAAAAATTTCCCCAACACACCTGCATTTTTTAAATGCATTTCTTATTTGATTTGTAAAAATGCTTCTATATCCAGATTTTCTAATTGTGTTATTTATATGAATTATTTAAATTTTTGGTCCGTCTGATGTCATTTTTAAATATTTAGAACAGTTAGTCGTATTTGATCAACTTAAAAAGCTTTTTATATTCTTCCACCTAAATTTATATTTTGTGTAATGATATGATTTTTAAAAAATACTAAATCAGATTTTTTGATCCGTTAGTCATAATTTTGCCAAATACATTTTTATTTTCACTTGAGTAATTTCTTGGACTGTTCAACATTTTAATTAAGTAAAATGTTGAAGAAGCGCTGCTGTTATTTGAGTTTAATTTTTGGTACCTTTACAAACTTCTGCACAAATGTTCCCAGCTTAAGTTAAGGAAGCCTTTCTTCTGGTTGCATAAATACAATGAAATGTACATCAACACATAGGAAACTTATTTATAAAAGGTAAAGAAGTTTTAAAGGCAACTAGAAGTAAAAAGATATGTAGAAAGTCCAGCAAATATTTGGAGTTAAAGCTTCAGTAAATATTTTTTATAAAAAAAATATTTATGTTAAAGTTATCATGATGTCATGATAGTTTGTTATGAAACAGAATGTGAGAAAAAATGGAGCTCCTCCACGTTCTCCCACTTCTAACTGTAGAAATACGTTTCTGTCAAAAACAGCCAATCAGAGCCAAGAGGAGGATCTTAATGCTGTCAATCACTCTCATACTTCCCCTTTGTTGTCTGCTATGCTACAGCTGGTTAGTGAGTTACAAAGCTATTTACAAATGCTAACTAGGCTTAGCCTTCCGTAGCCTCAGCCACAAAGGCTAAGGCTAGTTAGCATAGCCACTGATAACAGCAGATAAACCATTTTTCTGTAACGGTAACTTGTTTCTCCTCCATTAGCACACTGATCAAAACATGCATGAGCTGGAATTACAGCGCTAAGACTCTCTTGGCTCTGGTTGTTTATTTTGGACTGATAGCAGAGCATTGTTTTCAGACGGCAATAGCTCAGGGAGGAGATGAAGGAGAACAGGGCGTACACGAGCATGATTGACAGGCTAAGACCCGCCTCCTGACTCTGATTGGCTGTTTTTGGTCAGGAGTAGTAGCTGAGGGAGGAGGACGAGCTTGATTTTTCACAGATGTCTCATAAACTGTCATGACATGGTGACGGTTTCCACAAATATGGAAAAAACACTTTTATAAAAGTTCCAACCTGCAGCTCTAAGTAACATTTTCACATGACTGTTGATGTGATTTCCGATGATATGGAGGACCTGCTGGCTCTGGAGACCGACGCCCGCTCCAACAGGCCCATCTTCCTCATTTTCTGCAGCAGCTTCTTCCTGAACTTCTCCCCAACAAATGCGTACAGCACCGGGTTGACGCAGCTGTGCAGCAGCCCCAGGCTCTGCGTGGCAAACATGGCCTGGTCCACCGCCGTCCTCTCCCGGCACCCGTACTCCACGATCTTCAGCCGGAAAAAGGTGTCCGCCATCACCGCCAGGTGGTACGGCGTCCAGCAGAGCAGGAAGGCGGCCACCACGCATATGATGACCCTCATGGCGCGCTGCCGCTGGAAGCCGCCGCGGACGCGGAGCAGCCGCTGGATGGTCACCCCGTAGCAGGGCAGCATGACGGCCAGCGGGATGACGAACCCCAAGGCGTGGCGGAGGACTCTGGTGGCCAGCCGCCACTCGTCGGCGCTGCTGGGGTTGTACTGCACCGCGCAAACCATGTGGGTGGAGTTTTGGGAAGGGAACGCGGAGCTGAAGAACCCCGGTAGGGACAGCAACCCACCGATCACCCAAACCAAAATGCAGATAACCCAACTGCACACCTGGCGGTTTGTGCGCCGGGCCTCCATCGCCCGCACTATGACCATGTACCGGTCCATGCTGATGCAGGTCAGGAACAGGATGCTGGAGTAGAAGCTCAGCTCCTGCAGGATGGTGACGATTTTACACATGAGATCCCCAAACACCCAGCCGGAGGTGACGGAGGTGGCCCAGAAGGGCAGGGTGAAGGCCAGCAGCAGGTCCGCGACCGCCAGGTGGAGCAGGTAGAGGTCAGAGGGGATCAGAGCCTGCTTGCTCAGCCCGATCACCAACCCCACCACCAGATTCCCCGGAATGGCCAACAGGAAGACGAAGATGTAAAACAAGCAGGCGATCAGCATCACGACATCCGGGAACCGGAAGTTGTCGCAGGGTTCGGTGGCCGGGTTCAGGGTGAACTCCGTGTAGTTGTAGGTGAAGTTCAGCTCTTCGTAGACGGTGCTGAAGTCGTCCACAAATGACGACTCGTTCGGATCTGAGGGCAGAAATTAAAAATTTTCAGTACGTGTTCAGGCTTGGTATCAGTCCAAGCGAGGGATCCAAATAATTAATTAACCTATTATTAGTCTCAGCGCGATCTAGAGAAACTCATCCATGCGTTTATCTTTAGCCGCATTGATTCCTGCAACAGCGTCTTCACAGGTCTGACTAATAAATCAATCAAACAGCTGCAGCTGATCCAGAAGCTGCTGCTGCTGTTCTCACTAAAACCAGGAAGATGGAGACATAACACCAGTTATAAAGTTCCTACACTGGCTCGCTGTAGCTCAGAGGATAGACTTTAAAATACTGTTAGTTTATAAATCACTGAACGGTTTAGCACCACAATACCTTAAAGATCTGTTATTGCTGTACCAACCATCTAGACCCCTCAGAACTTCTGGTTCTGGTTCTGCTCTGCATCCAGAACCAGAACCAAACGAGGAGAAGCAGCATTCAGTTTCTATGCACCACAAATTTGGAACAAACTTCCAGAAAACTGTGAAACAGCTGAAATACTGAGTGCCTTTAAATCTCAACTTAAATCCCACCTGGTTAGAGTTGCTTATGGCTAAATTAAGGTTAGGGTGTAGGTTTTGATGTCTTTAAAGGTTTTATCTTTCTATCTATTTATTACTCTGTGTTTGTTTTTAATTATGTAAAGCACTTTGAAATGCCTTGCTGCTGAAATGTGCTATACAAATAAAATTTGATTGATTGATTACTCTGCCCACCTGGTTTACAAAATAAAGCATAAAAAAG